TTTTTTTTTTTTTTTTTTTTTTTTTCTACTTGCTGAATTTAATGAACTTCTGGTTTGGCTGAATTCGAAGTATGTTGTAAACCTGTGCCTTTTCCTCATCTAGGGTTTTTGGTTGATTTGATTTTACTTCTCTGTGTGGAATGATAATAATTATTCTGAATTCTTTTTGTTTCGGACACTTTTCAGGTGCTAGCAGTGAGGGATTGTTCTGTTACCATGTCTGATCATATCATGAAGTCATACCAAGAAGGGAAGGGAACGTCAATGCGGCCCTACCATTCAGTTTGGTTGGCTCATTGGTCACGTCCAGGCTGCAAATCAGCAAATGGAGCCTGCAATAATTTATTGACCAGCGGAGAGTCTGATGAAGAGAGTTCTCAAACTAAGAAGCGTCCTTTGCTCGAAGGTCCAATGGCAACTACTATCACTGCAAATCATGACATTGGGTCTGGAGAAGTAGCAGGAGTACGTGCAGATAATACCAACAAAATGACTGAGAGATCTAAGAAGTGCAGGAAAGAAAGGTTAGATTCTGAGCCCTTTTCTATGATCAATGATTCTCAGCATAGAGGGGGTAAATTGGCTCTGAAGATTGAACAGGCTACGGCTAGTCGAGGTGGAGCTTTGAAATTTCATACTGGTTCTAAATCTGAGCACAAAACTTCGTCTCTGGATGGAAAGGGGAGTCAATGGCTATCGCTGCTTGCAGTAGTTCCTGAAAGAGGTAAGCCCAAGAAGGAACAGATAAAGTCCAAAGACACACACCAACATGAGGATCCCAGTAAGTTCCTTAACAACAATGCCCCAACTGTTTCACCATTTGTTGGAGATGAGACTGTGGCATCAGCTTCCAACTTTGTACCTTATGAAATGAGTAATCTGTTCCCATTCTCCACATGTGAACAAAGTATCAACAACGAACCAAATTCCTGTTTGGCATCCAAAAAGCAGGTTGAGAATACTAATTTCCATACTTATTCTACTCTTTTTGTTCAAGAGACAAAAATCAACCAACTTTTGGATACAACGCAAGCTACAAATGCACTGTCAAGGCAGCACATGAGAACGTTTTTACTGCATAATCCCTCTTCAAGCAATCTTGACCAGCCAAATCCATACCCCATACAATGTGACACTAGGAAAAATAGTTCAAATGCCTTACCCTTTCAAAGTCAGGACAACCATTCAGACACTGCCTTACCAGAATACTTATACCATGGAGGTTACTCAATGCAGAGGCTTCCATTTTCTGTACACGACGTGGAAACTATGAGAATATGTACCACCGTAGACTCTGTTGGACAGGCGCTCAGGGGTCCTCCAAAATTTTGTCAGACAACTCACCGTTTAATGATCACTAAAAAGACTGATGTTGACTTGTATGAAGGTCAGGCGTTTAGAGGGAAAGTGGCATCTACCAATCTCAAAGAGGAAACTGCACGTGCGCTTCTTGGTTCATCCACCAATTTAGGCAGAGACGATCAGAAGGAAAATGAAGATCTTGGAAATACGAGGAGTGCGACTTCTTTGAGCAACGAGTCATCATCTGAGACTGATATTATGGACATGGATGCATACCAAGACAACCATTCGAGGGGTATGCCTTTGTAGTTTCTATTCTTTGATTCTTCCATTTTTGCTTGACGCTTGAAATAACAAAAGAAAAGGCAAAAGTATCGATTCACTGGATCACTAATGAATCATCTACGGTACCCATTAGTTTGCTTAGTTCCAATTACGAATTTGTTATCATTTGTTTCTTCATTTGTGTTCCCTTCTAACTTATGGGTTTGTCCTCCTCTTGCAGACGTGGATACATCAGAAGCAGATAAGGTAAGATGGAGCCTATATGAGGTTTCACTCTATTAAGCTCATTCCCTTGCATGTCAAATCAAATTTATGCTGTTAGTCACGAACCATTATAAGCCTACTGCCGTACGCAATACTGCTATCAACCTATGTTTTCCTTTCGGTTTATTCCATCTTGTTTTGAGATCGTATGTTCTTTATTTCCTCCCCGTTTTCCCTCCCTTTCTTCCCATGATAAAATTTTAAGTCTTGATTTTCATGATTCCCAAACGTCCAAATGGATTGGTCCAATAGAAACTTTTATTTGCTTGGATGTTCATCAAAATACAAATGCAGAATGGATGGTTAGCTCATCAAGCCTCGTACATGTTAATTACCGTTGGAATTGATGGTATTGGAGGATTATGTCGAAGAATTTTCAACTGTTACGAAGTTTTTTACTGAACTAAAATGGCTCTGGGATTTGCAGGAGTTGAGGAGTTCAAAATCACCACTGCTCTCTGTGAGTGCAACTGGTTCGGTTAGAAAGCAAATTGGAGGTCCGCTGCCGAAGAAAAGATTACTTAATATAAACGAAAGGCCACCCAATCGTTCTACTTCTACAAGCCTGATGGAAAACGGGGAGTCAAGTACCTCTAAAACACAAACTTTAGATGCAGAACACCTCCTTTCAAATGCTGAGCAGCAAAGGTTTTTGAATTCCATTGTCCCTCCAGATGACTCTTCTAAACGGGAGATAGACAGTGGGTGGGTTAAACGTCTTAGGCCATGCGCTTCAGAGTCTGTTCATGACTCAAAGAGCACGAAAAAGGTGGAAGAGTCTTCCTGTGATAAAGCCAATCAGCTCTTCAATAAAATGAAACGCAGCTCAACCAGCTCTGATCGCTCTAGGGGTCCACTCCATGGACAAGAGCAATTGGCGGTTGGCCAAACGGCTACTATAGTAAAAGCTAGTGACTTGTGCAGCAACTTGAGATTAAAAAATCGAGAAATGATACTCTCCAGTCCCTGGATTCGAAGATTATGTCATAATAGATCAACATCTTCTGAACGAAATCTTGAAACTGCTGTGGTTCACAAATCACAATGTTCTAGGCCAATTTTAAATAAGCCAATGCCCAGTATAGCTGCTATGGCATTGATGGGCAAGACAGTGACTGGGCTTCAGCCATGTGAGTTCATCAGAAGAGGATCTTCACTGGTCTGGAATACCGAGGGTATTTGACAACCCTCTTAAGTTTCGACACTACTGATATCTTGAAATGGAGTTATTTCTATCGAACTCCTGGCCATCATCAACTCAGACCCAAGTAGTTTGAACTGCTAGAGAGCTAAATTAAGCTTCTGGATAAGCTCGTTACAGTTGCCACCACTGCCTGAATGGAAGAATGGTTCCTTTATATGGTTTTGTGCTCGATTATTCACGATGTATCTCCTGGGGCTGAAGGCAAACGTGAGCATCCACCCATTTACAGTAAAGAAACGAGCAACGAGCCTGTATACAATTCTATAATTTTGAATGATTTTGTATTCTGCGTGGTTCTTTCTCAATATATGCTACCACTTTTTGCACATGATTTTAGCGTTTCTCACTTTTTCCAGGAAGAAAACTAACATACAACCATTATATGGTTGAAGTGGTTAGAGGAACAACATTCAGTAGTCCGAAGCTGTCAATATCAATATAGGATGGAAATTTGTGGAGTCTTGACCAATCAGGTAATGGAAACCATGCAGATGAACAACCCCACCTCTTCTCTGGTACATTATTTTCCTCAGATGGTTAAACTCAGCTCATTATCTAAGATCTTTTGTTACAAATTAAGGTTCCATTTCTAATCTGACAGCCAGTATGTTCCAGAGCAGATTCAAAAAAACCGCCTCCTTGAATGGTTGAATCCATACAGGGCGGAGCAAACTGAGTTATTACGTCTCCCACGGTGAGTATCCCTGTTGCTTGGTGGGAACTATTGACAAGAAAGCTGAAACTGCTATTTGTTTCTGCCATAGTTTTCATCACTTGCTTCAGAGTGTCATCTCTCCTGATGGTGACTGGAGTGTGCATATTTGGAACTTTGCACTTAACTAGAGGACGAGCGCTCGACAAGGTAAGTGCCCTCTGGCCCCCTTTGACTGTTGGGTTAGAGTCTGCTTGTTCTTTACTCGATTCCATATGCATGAACTCCTTCACTGTTAGCCTCCTGCAATTCATCACTAACGATCCATTGGCAATGGCATCTCTAAGCTTAAATCCTTACCATATGCTATTGTTTAAATTACAAGTTCAGTCTTTAAAATTTTGAATGTGAGGATTTATTCAGATCATCAAAACAAAGAAGGGCTTCAAATGAACTTACTTTCTATTATGAAATAGATCTTCCTTCTCCAATAGAAGATATGTGTCGCTGTTCCTCAAACAACCAATGAGGCTCTTACTTTCCCTATCTGTTACAGCAACTGCACCCATTTGTTTCTCCCATAGTAAATGAAAGGCTTCCATAATGTTTTGATCGCCATAGACGTGAAGAACATTCTCTTCATTATGAAACCTGAATTGACAATGATCAAGAAAGGAAAAGGAAGCAATTATGTTATTCAATTCCATATAGATCAATCTGTTATTCATGTGATGGTGTGATGTTCCTTACCGAAACTTCGATATAACTTTGTCCACTATGCTGTCAAACCACTCCAAGCCACTTGATTCCAGAAGCATATGAATTACTGCATTCTGTCATAGAACGCAAACGATTTCAAACACTTGATAAACCTGAAAGGCTCGATTATAAGAAAACCATAAACTTTGTATTTTGTTTAATAAAATACTCATATTCCTTCCAAAGTTAGAATATTACCTTGACCTACCTTTATAAAGGTTTCAAAATTGTGCTTGGAGTAAGAATCCTTCGGAATGTTGAATGGAGAAGTCAACAGGTGAAACACGGTAATCCAGGCAAGTATGTTTGATCTTTCCATCAACCCAGACCCACTCCACTCCACTCCACCACTAGCAGATTTCTTCTTTTGGACTTTCCCTTTCAGGTTTACTCTCAAAGTTTCTACACTTTTATAAGGAAGGCTTTGTTCCCCTCTCTCCAACCAACCAATGTGGGATTTGATCTCACAGTCCACCTCCTTTAAGGCTCAATGTCCTCGTTCCACTCATTAATTGATGTGAAATTTCACACTAACATTCTAACAAATTTTACTCGAATAGTTTTGAAATATTTATGAGCGATACGGGTAATATTGCTACTTCACTTTAGGCCAACCTGAAATGACTTAACCCTCTGAACTTTACTTTAAATAGAGAAGTCTAGCTACATAGTTAGCTGAAACCTTATGATTTGCCTTCTGCTTCCTAGCCCCCCCACCCATAAACCATCTAATCTGATTGATATCTCTAAGTCTGATTGCTAAGCTACAAAACCAATATCAAAGGTTTATGAAGCAGTAGAAAGTACCTTTGTAATGAAACCAACGACGTGAGAATTGCAGAGCTGAACTACAGGAACAGCCTGCAACCGATGCTTTGAAAGCAATAGCAGAACATGGAAAAGTGTATCCCTCATCCCTACTGGGAAATAAGGATCCCACAAAAATGTCTTCCCTAACTCACCCACCTGAAATTTCCCCAAAAACCCACCAAAACTTATCAGAAAGAAACCATGGAATGCAACAATCAAACAAGAAACAAACACCTTGGTTTGGCCAATATGTGGATTCTGTTCAAGAAAACTCAGAATCCCACGAACATTCTCTTGAGTTTCCTCTGCTTGAATGCATTTGATTTCATCCTCCAACTTCCCAATCTCCTAAGCCAGTTCATCATTCAGCCATTCAAGATCAAAACCCTTCAAAACAATACCCATTGAAATTTCAAACTACCTGAATACACCATAGAAGCAAGCTTGAGAGATGGACAAAGCCAATGAACCGATCGGGAAATCCCTCGCTGGTGACATCGGCTATGAGAGCACAATCCACATTCTTCTTAAACATAACCCTTATTGCATCCTTAACACAGTCCCCAGTCTTCACTTCCAAGACTTGTGTGGAAAGAAACAGATTAGATCATACCAGAGAAGGGATTTCTGAATTGGCATTAAAACAAACAGGTTGCGTGCAAAGGAAAATAGTGAAGGAGATGGGGTTACCGAGGGCGGATTTGATGCCGGAGATGGAACTGACGGGGATGCGATCGAAATATTGTTGTAAAGCTGTGGCGGAATCGATCTCCGGGGTGCTTTGGGATTGGTTCGATTCAGGCTGAGCCATTTTTTGTGATCCAGTTGCGTCTTCTTCTTCTTCTTCTTCTTCTTCTTCTTCTGGTTTCTAGTTCTCCAGATCTTTAACTGCAGGGGTAGAGGAAGTGTGTGCAGTGGCTATATTCTTCTCCACGATCTTAAATGGATCTTGGACTGCCACGTGTTGATCTGAAATGGATCTTTGTCTGCCATGTGTCATAATCCTTTTCTGTGAAAACGACAGGTTGGAGTTTGAGTTGCTGACAACAAAAAATAGATTTCTCCAAAAAGGAAAAGAAAGAGAATAAAAAATGGGACATATTATGCAAGTTTGCAATATTAGACCTTCCCCCTAAAAGATTAGCATTTCACTTTGCTAAGCCATATTTTATTTTTATAATTGTTTTAATTCAACATCGAGTAATTCCATCGGACATTCTTTTTTGTTGGGCATGTTTTTGTATTCAAGCTAATTTACGATGCAACTATTCTCTTGGAACGAGTACAGGATCGTAATTATAAACGAGTGCATGACCCTAATAATTTTTTTTTTTTTTTGTCAGAAAGTCGTTGAAAATGTGGACATAGATAGTGAGTGCTTGGCTATCGTCGGCAACTAGAAAAGTCATGCGATGAGCACAACCCTCGTGTTTGGTGTCTATTAATTCAGTCCTCGACCTCCACAAACCGTCTTTACCTTCTTATTTACCTTGTAAAAGAGTGAAATCAGTCTCATTAATGTTGTCTCTCTTTTGCTATATCCGAAACTCTCTTTCTCAAGTGGGTTTGAGATATCCAATTGCTAAGCTTCCTCTCCTTGTGCATAGCTTCCCTTCTTTCACTAACTCACTGTTCACCTCACTCACTTTAGGCGGGACCAATCCATAGTCGTGCCAGAGGTCGCATAAATTGTCACACCTACAACTTAACAAAATTGGGAGAGAATCAATAGATTCCTTTTCAAGAGCGATTCATCCTTTCCTAATACTACATACCACACCACACGATATGATACAAAACATACACTAATTTAGCAAAGATAGGAGTGAACATGCCATTAACCAAAAATTTTGATATTGATTTCAATATGGAAGTGTCACCAAATATCAATGAAATGATAAAAGGCAACAATTATGAAGAATACATAAAGATATAGTTTTTATGTACATAAAGATGAATCTGGGTGAGTAGTAGTAGCCACTCTTATTTAGAGAGAATTACACTAAAGATTTGCAATCTCCAGTTAACATCTCCCCTTATATGTTATACTAAAAAGCAACTTTCTTTGCTCCAAACCTATCTATAAATTCATCTTTGTCACTATAATCCTTCTTCTTCTCAGCCTAAATGCTGCAAATGCCATTCTTCAGCTGTCACAGAGCATGTTCTTCCCCTCTAAACATGTCGAGACTGAGACCTCGAGACCGGTTTATATGACCGTGCCGTCCTTGATCGTTGCCTTTTCCATTATAATGGTGATTCCCGACCGAACGTAGAATCCGTGTTCGGGTCGATCTGCTTCTTCGACACCCTGAAATTGACAAAGATACAGATTAAGAATGCCTGGAGGTTTTGGGATTGAATGTAGTTTGTCGAACCGGGTTGGATGCGCTTACTTCTTTGTTCATGATGATGACGTCTTTCCCAATCTTCACGTTCTTATCGATTATGCAGTTCCTGCAGCAAACCCAAGCCCGACATGAACACTGTTGAAACGTTGTTGTGCAGTATTTCAAGGTTCGAGTCGACAACTTACCTGATTTTCGTGTTTTGTCCGATCCCAATAGGGACTTTTCCCTCAGCTAGCAGAGCTGCAATTTCGAGTTCAGTTTGGTAATTGTCTGCACCCATCATTATAGTATCCTGTAAGAAAGAAGACAGCAACCTGAGTTACAAACTCTCGTGTTCATCTAACCAGCCGCCGTGTCTTACAAACTCTAGTGTTCACCTGAAGTTCGACACCGTAGTCTAATCTTGACCGTTCACCGATTACCGAATGCTGGATACTACATTCTCTCAGAAAGCATCCATGTGAGATTATGGCATCAACGATCTGCAAAACCCAGTCGAAGCTTAAGACCAGAGTCCTAAAGACAGAGCCGAGAATCAGATTGGTTTTATTGATATACCTGACATTTATCAATCTTGGTTGGTGGTAAAAATCGAGGCGATGTATAGAACGGCGTCTTGGGGTCGTAAAATTCAAACTTAGGAAACTGTAAACAAGTGAAAAATCGATAATCAATGGCGACTAAAGTGAAAAATTCAGTAAATGAAAGCTACCTCTTCCGTGAGGGCCAAGTTTGCTTCATAGAAGGTCCTGATTGTTCCAATGTCCTCCCAATAGTCTCTAAATACAAATGCCTTGGAGAAAAAGGAAGCAATAAAGAGAAGTTACACTCATATGAATATATCAATGAAGTCGAAATAAAAAAAGCTCGGTCGGTTCAAAAGTTCTTTTAAGGTCTAGCAGTCGGACTCGATTCTTACTTGGACGTTGTGCTCCTTTACAGCTGCTGGAATGATTTCCGAGCCGAAGTCGTTAGATGTAGGATATCTCCACTTTAAAAGGTTTAGCAAAACGTCCGTTTTGAAAACGTAAACGCCCATTGATGCAATGTAAGGGGACTTCAACGCCTCCTCCCGAGACAAACCTAATGAAGTTGTATCCACTCGCTGAAGAAAACCGATCAGTTAGGGTGATTAAACGCACGAGCCTTATTCAGCCAAGAAAGATCATTTCCATGTATGGCAAGATTCATAGTTTATAACCATTCTATATGTTCTTCAATATTTTACCATTGCATTCAAATGGGCACCCTTTGGCTTCTCCGAAAACTGGATAATTCGACCTCTACTATCGAGTTTCACCAATCCATAGTCCGATGCACGGCTGCAAAGTTGCGGAGTAAATGAAATAACGTATGAGAGCTCTAAAATTCTAAGTAAAAAACGGAATCAAAAGGTAAAAGGTATGTTGATAAGACCTGTCGTCCACAGGCGCGCACGAGATTGAAATATCAGCGTTTCTATCCACGTGATTCTGTGTCCAATCGTAGCATATGATATGATTTTCGACATATAGAACAGAAGCTATTATCACTAATGAGCACGGGCGCTCAAAAATAAAGTTGTTACCTGCACAAAGTCCATATAGTCCATTCTGTACATGTGATCCCCTGCCAAAATTAGAATGTTTTCGACATTTCTGTTCTTCGCATCCTACAAGAATTAATACGCGAATAGCTTTACGATATCGATAAAGAGAAGTTCAGCCATAACAAAAGAAAATAACTCTGTTATGTACCTCGAACACCCAAATAAATTGTCTCACAGCATCTGCCGTTCCTTGGAACCAGTACATCCCAGATTTCCCGGGTGTTTGAGTGGCTGCAAGAACCTGTATATCGAGAGTAAGCTCAGGATCATAACGATTTTCGACATGCTAGGAAAAGATTAGCTCCCTCTTTTTATCATTAAAGTTCACAGTTTATCAGTATACCTCCACGAATCCTTCTCCAAAGTTGACACCATTTCCGAAGTACGTTCGTGAAATATGACGATTCAACGAAGCAGAGTTGAACTGGGTAAGCACAAAAATTTTGTTGATCCCACTGTTGAGGCAGTTGCTCATTGGAATATCTATAAGCCTATAGCATCCTCCAACTGGAACCTGCAAAAACGAGTAGACGATCAAATTGCATAACTCAACCAACCGATTAGTCTACTAAACAAACGAGATAGTACTTGATGATGAATAATTCGAACTACATGATTACACCAGGTAAAATGGCAGAAGTTAAATTGAAAACCGCATTTTCAACGCACTTGTAACAGCCCAAGCCTACACTAGTAAATATTATCCGCTTTGGCTTGTATCACCGTCAGCCTCATGATTTTAAAACGTGTCAATCAAGGAGAGGTCTCCACACCTCAATAAGGAATGCTTCGTTCTCCACTCCAACCAATGTGGGATCTCACAATCCATCCCTTTGGGGGCCCGTTGTCCTTACTAGCACTCGTTCCCCTCTCCAACTAATATGGGATCTCACAATCCACCCCCCTTGGGGGCTAGCGTCCTCACTGGCCCTCGTTCCCTCTCTAACCGTGGGATCTCACAATCCACCCCCTTTGGAGCTTCACAGACACTCATTCCTCTCTCCAATCGAGGTGGAATCTCACGATAATTTTGATAGAAAAAATAACTTCATCTGTTCTAAGAAACACAGCAACATTAGTAAGAACTTACAGCAGGTGTGGCCAATCTTCTAGTAAGGGGAAACAGATGAGTCCCAGCACCTCCTCCCAATATGATCGAAGCAACATTCTTGGGGTTAACTTTGACTGTATGAAACGGTGGAGCTTGAATGCTCTTCAAATCCAATCCAAACAGTTAAGAATCAATCAAAATCAAGATGGGCATTGATCAAACTTCCAGAAATAACAATAAACTCACCGCAGCCTCCTTGGTAATATTTAGTGTAGCAACAACAGAAGCAGCACCATTAGAGGTGAGCTTCAAAGCTTTATTCTCAGATTTCAAACTCTTTGCTAAGCGATTAAACAAAGCATTATTATCCAAACTTCCTCTAACTTTCTCCCCATAAAATCCATTCTGATTCAGACACAGATGGGAATTGGGTTTGAAGGACAAAAAGCAGGAATCCATAGCTCACTACACAAAAACCAAATCCAAATACAAATACAAATCAATCGCTCAGAAATGGCACAAAATACAATCAAATTCAAATCCCAATAAAGCAAAACCCCAAATCAAAGCAAGCATTTAGCGTACAGATCACAGAAACAAAAGAAAAATGCAAGAAATCACCTGAGAAATTGAAAGGGGAAGCAATCGGAGGAGGAGAAGGCAGAGGGATTGAATGAAATGGGGCAAGAAGAAGGGAAAAGCGTGGGAGATTACGAAGAAAGCGGTGGAATAAGGGCATGTAAGTGAGTGAGAAGAGGTCTCTGAATCAGGAGGCTTTTATACTAAAAAAAGGAAAATGAACTCGATGGATCAACGGCTTCTTCTTCTTCCTTCTTTGCATTTCCCACAACACCCGATTTGTAACTACCATCCGCGATT